ATGTCGACAGCAACTATGAGTTTAAAAATTATTTCTCAGTACTTATTCACTGTTAAAATGCTGTACCATTAATTTCACCATCCTACTACAGCCAGATCTGAAGGCCTTTGCCGCATTCTGGCCATGCTGTGTGGCGCGTATCGCGTGGACGGGTTTCACGTTCTCTGCACGTAATAAGCTCGGTTATTAAGCATCCTTTTTTGGGGATGCCCGGTGGCCGAGGGGAAGACGTGTAGTGGCGTGAAGCTAGGCGATTAGGTGCCGTACGCGAGCGCCGGTTCGAGTCACGCACGCAGTACGTATTTACTATAATTAGACATAGTCTTTACCTTGCCGTTTATTCGGTGTTATTTGCTTAATTGAAATGGATAGATCAACGCGTTAGTTTAATTCAAACTGGCTTCTTAAAATGGTCATAGATGTTGACCACTTTCATTTGGTTTAAATGTTTGAATACGATACACACTGACGTTGATTAACAAACCTATTTATTAAAGATAAGATGTTCTGTAGCAAATTATATTATAAAATACCGAAAAATAAGATAAACAGGTTGAATCAAACATACATAAATTCAGCTTAACGAATAGCTGACTATTTAACTTGATATATGGCAGACCATAGAGGGCAGTGTGAACTAAAATGATATTACTATTATTTTATAACTTTTCACTGTACATGTATAAAACTCATTGATAATATACACTATCCCTGGGCCTATTAACTAATTTTCGTTTTTCAAATTAAAAGATCGTTTGAATATTTTGAATATAGTAGGTAGCCTGCAGCAAACGGCACCAATGCATTACCATTCACGGCGGCCTTATTGTTAAGTCATTGGTATTTTAAGTAGTTATAATACACCTAGATTTAGGTTTTGGCAAAAAGGGTATTGTGGTTGAGCGGCACAAATGTCCATTCTCAAAGGGTCTCGTTATTCAAACACCAATGTATATGTGTTACTTATATTAAACTCAATTCGATATACGGAGATTTGGTAAGAAACATGTAATTCACACAAAATCAACGTATTCAAAAAAACGTGAAATTATGCCCAATAAATTATTATAAAATGCAGTATTATTTATAAAGCTTACATCTATACATACAACTGGATATTGCTCAAAGTATTTCACGGTATTTCTCGGCACCTTTCAGCATACTTTCTAACTAGTTTGGAAACGAAATGCAGTGATTGTGGCGTTAGAGACTACTTCTCTACTTCAACAAACCTGCAAAACATTCTTTATTGTCTTGCATATTACGTTTTTCGTATTTTTACCCCCTCTCCTTCTTGGAGATTTTTCCGGATGGTCAGTGAAGACCCGATTGTTTGACAGATCCCTCATCACCTGGGCATGCTATGTTATCTATCAAAGGTACATCAAATGCTTATATTGGATTTGTAAGTGAGTATAACTGAATACCTCAATACACACATTCATCTCAAGGATAATTTTGAATTGTACATATGGCATTCATACTTACCCTTACTTTACTTTGACATTTTCAATACATTTTGATCTATCAAACTGTTTACAATATGACAGTGCATAGTAATGTGATTAAGTTGAGTTGGTTTCATTACCTGGGCTAAAATATCAACGACCGCACTGAATCATATAAAGTTAATCTTGGTAGTGATACTCTATGATTACGTGACGGAGTCCCTAAGGCGTGAAGAATTATGATATTGAGTCACCAATAGAGATTGCGCCCTAACTGTTTGATTTACTCTAACTCAAATTTATCTCGAATTCTAAAAAAAAATATTTGTTTCATCTTCGTTTCCCCTATTACTAAACACTGTGTTAGTGAGGGATGTTTGTTTCATCTTCGTTTCCCCTATTACTAAACACTGTGTTAGTGAGGGATGTTTGTTTCATCTTCGTTTCCCCTATTACTAAACACTGTGTTAGTGAGGGATGTTTGTTTCATCTTCGTTTCCCCTATTACTAAACACTGTGTTAGTGAGGGATGTTTGTTTCATCCATGTTTCCCCTATTACAAAACACTGTGTTAGTGAGGGATGTTTGTTTCATCTTAGTTCCCCCTCTCACTAAACACTGTATTAGTGAGGGATGTTTATTTCATCCTTGTTTCCCCTATTACTAAACACTGTATTAGTGAGGGATGTTTGTTTCATCTTCTTTTCCCCTGTTACTAAACACTGTGTTAGTGATGGATGTTTGTTTCATCCTTGTTTCCCCTATTACAAATCACTGTTTTAGTGAGGGATGTTTGTTTAATCTTCGTTTCCCCTATTATTGAACATTTTGTTAGTGAAAGATACTTGTTTCATCTTCGTTTCCCCTATTACAAAACACAGTGTTAGTGAGGAATGTCTGTTTCATCTTCGTTTCCCTTATTACTTAACACTGTGTTAGTGAGGGGTATTTGTGTTATCTTTGTTTTCCCTATTACTAAGCACTATTTTAGTGAGGGATGTTTGTTTCATCTTCGTTTCCCCTATTACTAAACACTGTTTTAGTGAGGGATGTCTGTTTCATCCTCGTTTTCCCTATTACTAAACACTAATTTAGTGAGGGATGTTTGTTTCATCTTCGTTTACTCTATTACTAAACACTGTGTTAGTGAGGAATGTCTGTTTCATCCTCGTTTTCCCTATCACTAAACACTGTTTTAGTGAGGGATGTTTGTTTCATCTTCGTTTCCCCTATTACTAAACACTATTTTAGTGAGGGATGTTTGTTTCATCTTCGTTTCCCCTATTACTAAACACTGTTTTAGTGAGGGATATCTGTTTCATCCTCGTTTTCCCTATTACTAAACACTGTTTTAGTGAGGGGTGTTTGTTTCATCTTCGTTTCCCCTATTACTAAACACTGTCTTAGTGAGGAATGTCTGTTTCATCCTCGTTTTCCCTATCACTAAACACTGTTTTAGTGAGGGATATCTGTTTCATCCTCGTTTTCCCTATTACTAAACACTGTTTTAGTGAGGGATGTTTGTTTCATCTTCGTTTCCCCTATTACTAAACACTGTCTTAGTGAGGGATATTTGTTTCATCTTCTTTTCCCCTATTACTAAACACTGTCTTAGTGAGGAATATTTGTTTCATTTTCGTTTCCGCTGTTACTAAACACTGATGCTTTAGTAGGGCTTAATCTCTAACTATCTTGTGCTCGGTTTTGAGTTTTCGTTACCGTTATGGATAGGATAGCTTCTCGTACCTTTATCTGGTCTGCATGTCTAGTTGTGCTCCCACTGGCCTGTGCAATAGTGTTTTATGGTGTTGTGTTTGTTGCTTGGTACAGTGTCTCTGCTTTGAAGATGTGCTATTTTTCAGTTTTCTTTTGTATTCCTGTCCGTTGCCTGT